AAGTAAGTAAGTAAGTAAGTAAGTAAGTAAGTAAGTAAGTAAGTAAGTAAGTAAGTAAGTAAGTAAGTAAATAAAAGAAGTAATAAAACCTTAAACTTGAATTTTCAAAATAAGAGATTTTTTTTTGTTTTTACTAACCAAAAAGGGGGCCAGGCAGAAAAAGCTTGGGAACTACTGGACACTAGAAATTAATAAAAAATGAATGGAAATCAATGCAAGGTCTTTTTGAAGACAGAAGAAAATAATCTATTGTTTATGTGTTTTTCAGGTGGTTATTACTACTACCGGAAATTTTTTTAGGGGAAATTGCAAAATGTAATCTTCAGATGTCTATTTTTGTGTGTATTTTGGAGTCCATGTGTTTATTTTGGTCAACTTTACAGATTTTAAACCTGACATTTTTGTGTAGTAGCAGCTTAGAATTTTTCTCAACACATATTCAGAACCCTAACAGATTGTCCAACTTTTTTCTCTTTGCCATTATTACGAAAAAAATAACTGCAATTAATTTTTAAACACTTGACTGGTTGATAGTTTTGCCAGTATTTGGATGAATTGTAGTTAATTGAGGCAATAATCCATTTGGTCGCTAGATGGCAGCAAATCTCACAACTCGCCACCAGTTTCTGCTCTGTTGTAAAATCGCTCTTTTCCATATATAAATAATCCAGTCACGCCAGTCAAAAGTGGCGTGTTTACAATCGTTTCATGGCCTTTTTATGGCAGTGATAATGACTTTGTTGCAAATTCTTTGCAGCTGAAAGACAGTCTGGTTTCTCCTAAATTAACTGCAATTAAAGCTCAAAGCAATCAGTCTGACTTTTCCTCGTTAGGAGATTAAATATTTTGTCTTAATGACTGTTTTCTAAAAGGTTTTGAACCAGTTGTACATCTTATTTACGAATCCGTTCTTGAATCAACCGGTTAACTGTTGAAATTAGTTTCAAACCGAGCAAATCTGCAAGAAAACAAGACGTGGCCTTCAGAATAAAAGCCTAAAGATAGTTTCTGTTTTATATTTTCTTACATATTTAGTAAAAACGCTGTCAGCTTACATATTGAACCAAACTAGAATCAGTTTTGATTTTGGTGTTGAATACTTTAGTCTTTTATTTGGAAAGAATATTATAAAGACTCAGAATCTGGAGTCTTCTGCTGCAACTCTCAGTGGAAGATGTGGACTTTTTTTTTGCAAACTTTTATTATTAGGCCTACACATTTAAACCTTACATTTTGATCAAGCTGATCTGACTTTTTAATATGTTCAGTTCATGCAATAAATGTGGTAAAGTTGCATACAATTATCCAGATGTTCAAAGGTCAAAGCTGCTCCTTCACTGCCTGGGTTTATTAAAATGACAATAAAATTAAGATTTTGCTCTTGCAACAGTGCAGAGACGTGTGACTGTTGCTGTTTGAAGTGTCCAACCAACGTTGAGCCAATCAGACGAGAGCACCACACTGATACAATCAACCTCATGACCCTTTTTTTCCCCTGGCTATTTTCAGTTTATGACAACTGTTTATAACAGCGAAAATACACTTCATTTAAATTATTTCTAAATTTTTATTTGAGGTCATCACATGATCTTCACTTGGTGTTTTACTAAAGTGTGGGTCTTGGGGCACCTGTGTTTGCAGTCGCATAAATGTGTCTCTACAAGACACCTGAACGCCTCATGATGTGTGTCACTGAATGTCTGATTAGACTTTACAGAATGATTTAATCAAATTACTTTTGTAGACAAATTGTGATGTATGATGAGTAAACTGAGGGCACATTTTGTGTTGTAAAGTATTTTGTATAGTTTGTTTGGCTACATGACCAAGAAACAGGTGTGTTTTTATGGAAAACCATCAAATAAAGCCACAATAACGATTAAGAGCATATAAACACCTCTTTAAATTATAGTTTATATTGTTTAAACCTATTGGAGGCCCTGGAGCAGTGTGGTTCTCCTGACTGGGCTTTCYTGAAAGCAGACAGGAAACACAGACAGGATTCCATGYAACCTTCAGGTGAAAATGAAGACCCCAAACCCAGACCCAAACCAGTGGTTATTCCGTATGTTGCGGGTGTTTCGGAGAAACTGAGACGTTTATTTTCTAAACATGATGTCCCAGTRGCTTTCAAACCCCAAAACACATTACGGCAAAGGCTGGTTCACCCCAAAGATCCGGTGCCCCGGCACAAACAGAGCAATATTGTATATGCTGTTAAGTGCCAGGAGGACTGCGACCAGTTATACATCGGGGAAACAAAGCAACCACTGTTCTAAAGAATGTCCCAACACAGACGAGCTACATCTAATGGCCAGAACTCTGCAGTTTTCACTCATTTACAGGCCAGCGGTCACTCTTTCAGAGATGAGGATGTTCTCATTCTTGATAGAGGAACGTTGGTTTGAGAGAGGAGTAAAAGAAGCCATTTTTGTGAAGAAAGACCGTCCATCATTAAACAGAGGTGGAGGCCTCCGTTTTCAGTTGCCCCCCTCCTACAGCGCAGCCATTGCCAGTATCACTCCACCCCCTGTTAACAATAAGTGTTAATTAGGTGTCAACGATAGCCATGTGATGTATCAGTACATGGAGGCAGGGCTTAAAAGCCTGAATTTTGCCTGAAACTCTCAGACTGAAGAAGTCTCTTGGAAGAGAGATGAAACGTTTCATTAGAGAAGAACCCGTCCAGAAGACCTATACAATTTTTTTTCTTTTTAATTTTTTACCTGGATTACTGAGATGCATCAGGACATTTTAAACCTATCATTAGAATCTGCGTCACATGCACACCTCCAGCTTTTAATATAAACACAGGTGTGTTTTCTCATTCATCAACATCAAAAGCGCCGAACAAAGTGACGTCAGTCCGGGTCTTTTCGTTTTATTTTATTTTGGCAGTCCTGACCGGAAGTCGCCTTGTGCTTTACTGACCTTGACGGCCGGGCTGAGAACCAGGGGGGAATGCGGCGGTGCTGGAGGAGGAGGAGGAGGCTCGAGGCTCACCTTGTGGAAATAAACAGGAAGCACACAGAAACCGCTCCACGTCCACCTGAGAGCGCCGAGTCCTCCTCCGCCGTCGAGCCGACAGACACGCACCGAGAGAGGGGCAGGAGGTGTTCAAAACACCGGGGCTGAACGCACCGAAACTTCTTGTTCGTCCGGAACGTTTCCCCGGAGCGAGCTGACACCGTGGACTGGAGGAAGGTAGGCGCTTCACGTTTCGTGTCACGACTTTTAGCGTTAATTAATTTGTCTAATTAATGTGAAAATTCAGCCTTTAGATAACAGGGACACTTCCAGAAGGTGCAACGTTCAAGACATTTAGTTTTTATAACCATGTCAGCCAATAAACAGTAAAAATGAGTCAAATATTAAGTATTGAGCTTGCATGTGTTGAACACGTCACAGTTTAAAGTGATATATCTGGATAATCCAGTTTTATTTATTTATACTCGGAGTTTCCTGTGAGTCTTTGACTACAAACTTGTAAACAAGTGAACAGCGCTGAGCTGGGTTTGTTCAGAGCTCTGAGCAGATTCCGGACTCATTAGATCCACAGCAAGGCGTTTCACTGACGGTTCTGACTTTTGAAATAAATGATCAGCTTTGTGTTTGGACAGGGTTGGCTAAAAAACGGCAGAGCTTTGTTTGATTTGAGATCTTGATGTTGTTTTGTCAGTGAGCAGTGAGGGTTGAGGCTCAGCTGTGGACGTGTGTCCTCATTGTTGAGAAACAGGGACCAGAAGAGGATGTGAAACCATAAAGACTAAATCATGTAGTCAGCTTTTATGTTACAAATCATTTCACCCTTTGGCTTTTAGTCCACTCTGAAGCCCACAGACTTGGAAGACTGGCCTGCTTTAGATCACGTGTGCTCCTAAAAACTGTTTCATTAAAACAAATATTTTTTTAAAAATAAAGAGTTGTGGTTATCTTTCCAAACTTGTCAGCTGAGGTGAGCGACTTTACACCTGAAACAGTTCAGGATTATATGGGTTTTAGTGGAGGCAGGATATCCATAACTTTCTCAAAGTTCTTTTTGTTTGGTTTGACTTCAGCTCGTACTTGTAATTGTCTTGAAAACCTTCAGAAAACTCTTTAAATCCTATTTTTATCCATTCGTTCTGTAAAACACACGTTTGCCAGAACGCAGGACTGTTTTGAAGCATTTTACAAATTGAACCTAAAAATGCTTATTATACACGCGTCAGGATTTTTTCATCACATCTCCAGACACACAGGCCCAAACCATCACACCGCCGCTCCCGTGTTCGCTGTTCTTTTACTGATTCACCATATTTTTTGCATGCTGGTTAAATCATACTTTCACCACTTTGTTCCCCTAACTTTGCCTTTTTATTACTTAGCAGGTGGCATTTTGTACCCCACGTGTTTACCATTTTGCACCTATAACCCTCTGTTGTTACATGCATAATTTATTGGAACCACATACTTTCATAAACCTACTTATCTTAAAATAGTCACAATATGTATGAATTGTTGTAATGAATATGCTTCATATAGACACCACTGACATTTAAAAAATATGCTGTTCCAATTTTTACCTGCACCTGTATGATTTATTTATTTATTTTATTTTTTTTTTTAATTTATTGTCATTTTTAGATTTTTAATGATCCTAATAAGACAGATTTTTTTCAAAGTGAACTCTGATTAAATCATCAACGTTGCATGCCAGGGGAAGTACTTTCCCCATAAACGTTGTGCCTAGGAATAGGGCTGCCACAAACGATTATTTTCATAATCGGTTAATCAACAGTTATTTTTTCGATTATTCGACTAATCGGATCATATGTTAATTGAACATAAAACATACAGCTTATCGTGCCAGAATGCAGCTGCTATTATATAACCATGGTTAGATTTTAGCTATATGCTAACTAAAAATTATTGCTGTGGAAGGTAAGTTCTGCTCTGCAGATATTGCACAGGTTTCTCTTTCATTTTCTTAAAATGATCCCACACTTTTGAGCTCCATTGTCAGGTAGCCATGATACCAGAGCCTGTCTGTATAATGTCTTGTGACGTCCACGGCCTACACCAGTTACCACTACTGTGCATGTGTGTCAAGGACAGAAAGGCAGATGTGGCAGTGGAAGGTGTCAAAGCAGTTTGGAGATAAAAACAAAGTAAAGAACAACAACAAAAAACGATTAATCGATTATTAAATTAGTCATCGATTATTTTAATAATCGATTAGTCGTCGACTAATCGTGGCAGCCTTACCTAGGAATGCAATTTATCGATTTAATAGATTGATCTAAAGTTGATTCATCTTATCGATCGACTAACGATTAATTGATAAGCGGACATTTTCCTAAAAACCTGACATTTCTCTTGAATCAAGAGTCAGTAACATGAAGGGCTAATTTTTTACATGATGAATAAAAAAAAAGTACAGGATAATTTTAACAATTCATTGTGCCAGCTGTGTGAGTAAACACTGACTGAATGAACAGAAAATTGTGGATTTCTCTCACGTTATTAAACTTTAACATATTTATAAAGTATAACAAAACAGGAATCTGTTAAATTGCTAGTTGGAAAAAAATGAAAGAATAAAATAAGTAAAACACTTAATCCACCCTGAAGATGAAAAACTACAATATAAACACAGGGTAGGGCTGGGTGATAGATAGATTTAATCGATTAATTCAAATTTGCCATTTATAAAGATTTAATTTAGGGAAAATTGAGATTTCTTACCAATACACTCTTTGGGTCTTCAGTAGCTCAGAGGTCACCCCACCTGTCCGTGAAGATGCTTGTTACATGACATGACAATATGACAGTTAGCAGAGAGGATCTACTTCCCAAAAAAGGTACTGTTTCTTCAGTTTTCTGGAACTGGTGAGGTTTTGTAACCTCAGACTTGGAGCAACAAACACCTCACTGCAACAACTGTTTCAAGACTCTTGCTACAAAAAGCAGGAGTACAACAAATTTGTTTTGACACCTGAAACAGAGGCACTTCGTTAAGTGGGAAACTAAATCGATTAAAATCAAAAATCCAATTTGGAATGAAAAAAAAAAAAAGGAGATTTGCCATATCGTCCAGCCCTAACACAAGGTAATATTTTAAGATAAAGATTAACTCAAAAACAAACTAGAAACAAAATAAAAAATATCCCTGAAAGATGTGAGATACAAATGAGTACTGGCAATTGTTTGTTTGTTTACATTCCTTCTGGTTCTATCTTAGCTGGGCTGCACAGCATGATCTGACGTCAGCTACTGTTCATTAGATTGGTTTACTGGCTGGATTACATCACACAGATTAGATTAATTTGGTGACTGTAACTTGTTTTGTTTTGTTCTTTCACACGGAGTTAAACTCAACAAGAGGAAGCTAACGTTAGCCAGAGTTAGCTTACTGTTCTGTCGTCCTGCTCTCTTGTTTGTCATACTGCTTGATGGTCCGGTACAGCCTTCTGTACTTTTCCTTCGAGTTTGGTGTAGTCCATTATTATTGTTGTGTTGCAAATAAAACTAAATAAGACTCGCCCGTTTGCGGTCCCGCCCACAGTGAGACGGCTTTCCTGCTCAATTTAACAGGGCAGAGGTAGAGTAACAACACCCTCTGCTGGATGAAGTCAAAACTACACTGAAATAAGGTATAAACAGATGTTTTCAATTAATTGAATGTAAGAAATTTTAATCTAATAAACCATTATTCAACAATTAATCGTAAGTCAATTAAATGTTTGCATCACTAGTTGTGACGCTTCGCTTGCCTAAAGTCTGGGTCCAGAATCAAATTTTCTTTAAAAATTTTGGCATCTGCAATTTTAATTTGTCTGTTTGTTGCTGGGTGAAAGTAGTGATTCCATGTTTCAGACAAATATTGTATTTTTACATTTATTAAGGTGTTTATTATTATTATTATTATTATTATTATTATTATTATTATTATTATTATTATTATTATTTGTACATCCATCAACCCATTTGAAAGTTCATTAATCCTCCATGTTGACAGTTTCATCTCGGTTACTACCATGTTTTGTGGCACAAACACACATCTTAAAGCATCTGTGTTAATAAATCAGTACTTAGACAATTTCTAATGGCCTTTCATGTTTTAATTTAGTATCTAATATTGAGCATCACTAGTAATGGTTTGGTTTTCTATTTCTGATTCTCTTTGTTCATTAATGTCTGATGAAAAAACAACAACAAAAAATACAGTTTGGTTTCTTTTTACCTGTTGGACTGAACAGCCTCTTTTCAGTTTTATTTTAACCTAAAGATGGCTTCTTTATCCACTCACATTAACACATCCGTGGACTGCATGTTCCAATGAGCAACGTCAAAAAGCTAAATTGCAAACTTAATTTCAGACGTTTCATTCAAAAGAATACCAAGAAAAAGACCTTTTCAAAGCCATACAACTAATCAGAACATGCATTTTTGACCAGCCATTTCATTAAAGCTGTTGTAGTTCAGACTCAGACTTACACTTTCAAAACCTTTCAGACTAAAGTTGTGTGTTTGTGTTCAGTTGGAAAGTTTTGCTCATAATTATCCATAATAAAAATGATTTTGTGTATTATAATTGGAGTTATTTCTGTGTATGTAAAGAAGAAGTTTGGTATGATAATGTCACAAGGAAGCATATTATCTTTCACTATATTCAAACACAGACATTTTTAAATATGCAAATATTTAACTGAGGTATTAGTATTAATGAATTTCCGCAGTATGCATCATCATAACTGGGAGTTGGATGTGTGTCACTAATGACACTTTGTTGTTTTAGTCAGGCAGTGGTCCTGGCAGCCCTGTGTGGGAAGGGGTCTGCTGTCAGGTTCCCTCTGAGGTAAAGTTGGAAAACGCTGATAAGGTGTACTGACGTCACTCTGCAGACATCAGCCAACAATGCAGCAATTTACCTCAAGCCAGATTAAGTCCTAAACCAGTGAAACTGAGTTCAGATGATTGTTCTTGTGTTTAAAAATGGAAATCACTTTCCTTTAAAGTGTAGGGTTGTTTTTCCCTGCGTGACATGGTTTATGGTTAAGCTGTATGATTATAATGGCACATAATGTTTGGCTCGAGCAGTGAGAGTGTGTTGTTGTCTCAGTGACAAACAGCTTGTTAGAATTAGTGGGCAAAGTTTTAAAACAAGAATACTTGTGGCTGAAGAGTCATACTCACTTTAAATACCAGCAGTCTGTTGGGTG